CGCGCCAGCCGGCCAGGACGAGAGCAGCGCCGGCCGCCGTCCAGCCAGGGCCTTCTCTCCTGGGCCCAGCAGAGCCCCGAGCAGCGCCAGGGCCCCCGCACAGGAGAAGCGGCCCCCCGCTGCGGAGACCAAGGGGCTGCACCTTTCTGCAGGGCTGACGTGCGCCGTGGCTGTAGGGCGGCTGCTCTGTGCCTCGGGCAAAGCAGCACCGCAGGCCTGGAAGCCCTGGGTGAAGGGACCAGACCCTCGCGCACACCGGGGCTCCCCGGTAGGGTCAGGAGCAGGCGCAGCACCCAAGCACCCCGGGAGGGCCAGTGGGGACCCCAGGGCCGGAGACGCCGTGTCTGTCCCGGGTCCCGAGTGTAGACGTGCTGGGGTCCTTGACTCACGGCTCGCGTCTCACGCTCTGCCGTCACCTCCACAGCTGACCGCGCCAGCCGCGCCAGGGGCTGCCCGCCTTCCCTGTCCCTCCACTTCTCCCTGAGCTCAGGTCACCCCAGGCCCTGCTCAGCAGCCACCCTCAGCAGCAACAGGGTATTCTGGAGCGGATTTGGGGCCAGGGGTGTGCCCGCCCTTGGGGCTGAGTGCCCAGGTGGAGCAGTGCAGATCAGCCTTGGGGGGAGGCGGCTGGGGTGCTGGTGACCCCGCAGCCCGGGAGGTCACCTTGGGGGACGCACCTCCCCAAATGCCCCACAGAAGCCCAGCTCCATCCAGAGTCCTTCTCCACACCCTCAGCTGGGCCCCAGGGTGGGGAGCCCTCACTGCCACAGGCCCCTGCACCAGCTCTGTGCAGTTAACGGGGGACCCTGGGGTCTCAGCTGAAGGGCCCAGCAGGATGTGAAGTCCCTGCAAGCCCCCAGGCCACGTGCTCCTGGCCAAGCTCACTGCGATGTGAGGGAATGATAATGGAACAGTCACCCCAAAGGCGAAGCCTGACATCGTTCTGCCAAGAGCCAGAGGCAGCCTCTCCCAGCACCACTTGCCCATGGCCTCGGGCACTGACCAGCTCCCAGGCCTCCGGCCACCGCCAGGCTGCTGGGCCCTGCCCCTGCCTGCTGCCCACAGAACACCGCGGCCTCTGTCCGAGGTGGCCGCTCAGGTGTTTGCACCTTCCTCCGGAGCCGGCACGCCCGAGGAGCTCAGGGCGCTGCCTGACACCTGTCACCTCCGCTCAGGTCACCTGCCACCTGGCGGAGAGCTCAAAGGCCACCTCACCTCACCCCCTGCCACCCCGCAGCTCCTCCCTGACAGTGGGGAGAAAGCGCCATGGGCGCGCCTGGTGTGTGAGTCCCCCGGGGAGGCAGAGAAGAGGGGCGCCCGCAGAGGGGGCGGCTGAGCCACTTGAACAGTGGGGAGCAGCCTGCCGGCGGGGAGCACGCTGAGCACGTGAAGGAAACTCTGCCCTAGGAGGCAGCCGCAGGCCTGGGGCGCCACTGAGGCCTGATGCCAGGCGGTGCCCTGAGAACCGGGGGCTGAGTTAGTTAATTATTAGTAGATTGATTCTAATTTATTTATTATTAAAAATAATTTTGATAATTAATTTAAGTTAAATTTCGTCATGTTATGTTCCGACATGACTTCATTTTGAACTACTGCGCCCCCCCCCCCGCTTCTCCCCTCAGGGCGGGCCCTTCCCCTGCACCCCACCCTGGAGGCCACCAGCTGCCCGTCCCTCCCGCAGACCCAGGCCGCTTGCTAATTGTCTTTTACCGACATGAGTGGAATTAAGCGGGTGATGCAGCGGCTTCACCCCGTCACGCGGCGCTGTGCCGAGGGGTGCAGCCGCGCCCCGCGGGCGTCACACACAGCACCCAGCAGGCACACCCCTGCCACCCACGTGGGCGCTCGTCTTGGAAAACTCTCCAGACAGTCTGGTCACGGAGATCCCCAGATACGCTGCAGTCGGTCATGAAGTAAAACACTAAGGACTTGTCATTTGAAGTTTTTACCTGAAAAATAAGTTTGACTCTAAATTAAAGGTGTAAGACGGAAGCGGGGGGCTGGGGGTGTGTGTGTGAAAGGTGGTGGCGAGGGCGGCGGCAGGGGAGAGAAGAGCCTGAGGAGACGGCGCTCGGCCGGGTCTCAGCGCCAGGCTGCCGGGCGCAGGGCGGGGCCCGACCAGGCCGCGGGCGACCGCCGAGACCGGCCGAGGACCCGGGCATGAGCAGAGCCGGGACGCACGAGCCTAGTCACCTGCACCAGGTGCACGATCCCACGGAGCCGTCGGAGACCGGAGTCTCCGCTGTGGGCAGCTCGAGGACCAGAGCTGGCGGCCGGCCAGCGCGCACAGCCGGCCACACGCCGACCACGGGCGGCGCAGAGGTGGCGCGGGGGAGGTCACTGCTGCTGGAGGCCTCGCGGGAGGAGTGGGGTCCGGCCCCGACGCTGGAGGAGCTTCCTGCCGGCCTCCAGCGCTCCCGGGGAACCTCCTAGGGACGCTGACCTGAGTTG